ATGAAGGACTTTGTGAGTAGCTTATGTCAACTACATAATGCTACCCAAATCAGTGATGCTGTTACCATTATCAGCCACACCTTGTGTCAAGGTGGGCTCTCCTCACCTGGGCCAGCCAAAAGGCAGAGGAATAAAGACTAAAGGCTTCCATGAGCCCCCTTCCAGATGGAGAGCCTGTAATTAAGACTTACTGGTAATCTTTCTCTCCAATGTCTCTGCTAAGGACTACACTCAAATTAGGAATATTTGCTTTTGGCTAGGTGTGGTGGCTCACACCTGTGATTCCAACACTTTGGAAGGCCAAGGTGGGCAGACCACTTGAGGTCAGGAGTTTGAGAGCAGACTGGCTAACATAGTGAAATCCCATCTCTACTAAAAATACAAAAAATTGGCCAGGTGTGGTGGTGTGTGCCTATAGTCCCAGCTTCCCAGGAAGCTGAGGCACAAGAATGGCTTGAACCAAGGAGGCAGAGGTTGCAGTGAACTGAGATCACACCACTGCATTCCAGCCTGGGCAACAAAGCAGGACTCTGTCTCAAAAAAAGAGAAAGGATTTTTTTTTTTTTTTTTTTTTTTTTTTTTAGACAGGATCTCCCTCTGTCACCCAGACTGGAGTGCAGTGGCACAATCATGGCTCACTGCAGCCTCAACCTCCTGGTTTCAAGTGATTATCCCACCTCAGTCTCTGAAGTAGCTAGGACCACACCCAGCTAATTAAAAAAAGTTTCTTAGTGACACATCGTGTTGCCCAGGCTGGTCTTGAACTCCTGGTCTCAAGCAATCCTTCCACCTTGACCTCTTAAAGTGCTGGGATTACAGGCAGGAGCCACTGCATCTGGCCAATATTTGCATTTCCTTTTATTTTATTATTTTATTTTATTGAGACAGGGTCTCTGTCACCTAGGCTGGAGTGCAGTGGCACAATCTTGGCTCACTGCAAGCTCCACCTCCTGGGTTCAAGCGATTCTTGTGCCTCAGCCTCCCGAGTAGCTGGGATTACAGGCACCTGCCACCATACCTGGCTAATTTTTCTATTTTTAGTAGAAACAGGATTTCACCATGTTGACCTCAAGTGATCCACCCACCTCAGCCTCCCAAAGTGCTGGTATTACAAGTGTGAGCCACCACGCCTGACCAATACTTGCTTTTTTAAACAGTGTGTCTGTTTAAGAATATACTTAGCACAGTAGGGGTTGTGTGGTGAAAAAGAGGAGTAAGGCAAGAAGTTATTTAAGCAGCACTTTGGCGTGTTTTCTTATAAAAGTGTAGATTGTATAAGTGCCACAGTGTAAGTTTATGAAGCCCTACTTAAAATTGTATCACATATAAGCCTGCTACTTGTTTCTTCCATTTTGTCGGCTTTCTCCTCTGTGAGACTCTTGCCATGAGCTCCATGCCCTACTTCCTTGTGGGTTCCCATCATGATGGGAAATACAGGCCATTGAACCAAGTTAGCAGCATTATCAAATCATTTCCACCCCAGAGTCCTTCTGATGGAGTGGGGGCAGCAGGTGGAGTGTAATGTTCCACATTTGTTGAAAGCTGGTCGTTAACATGTCAGGCGCTGCATCAAATGCAAATGTTGTTGAACTCCATCTTTCCCACGAGACTGTTGGCCACTGAGGGTGTTGAGCATGTCTGCCTTACTCCCTACCTGGTCACCACCACCTCACCAAGGTTAGCTCAGTACATCTTCATCAAGTAAATTGAGTCCTTACATCAAACAACCCTTCCACGTGGTCACTTTTATCCCCAATTCACAGGTAAAACTGAGGCAGGAGTTGCTTAAGAATGTTGTCCAAGGCAAGAGAGTGTGTCTGTCTTTGAGTCTGGGTACTACATGCTCTGTCTGTGCCCTGAGCTTACACTCTCTTCTGCACAGCGTGCTGCTAAGAATGTCCTCTCTCAGGAGCTATGGATTATGTTGTTTGTGAATCATTTTCTAAAAGTTTGCATCCATCTGTGTTTGCCAGCAGACTCTAGTCAAGTATTAGTCATATACCTAGAATTGGATATTCTGAGTATATGACTAATAACATTGGTCCTCTGGGTCCTATTCTGAGATTCTCTTTATGAAGCAGTCCCAAATTCTTGGAAGGTCTGAAATGAAGTCAAAGGTCAAATATGTATTCACCAACGTTTATTAAATACCATTGTGTGACAGACCCTGGGCTAGGGCCCTGAGGTACAGAGGTGAATGACAGACAAATAGTTCCTGTCTTTAAAGAGCTCACAGTCTAGTAGGTCTGACTGTGCCATTTTCCTTCAAAAATAATTATTAAGAAAGTGAAACATGCTGACTGCAGAATATTGGGGAAGCCCACAGAAGAGAAAGGAAAAACCAGTCACCCCCAAATTAAGATGTTTTATAAACCCCAAGGGTAGAGTCTGTGTCTTCGTATTTCTCTATCTACAAAACTGTACACAGATCTTAGAGCAGAAGACAAGTTCAGTTCATGTTTTTTGAATGGGGAGGAAGCCACCCTGAGGTAACCACTGTTAACATTTAAAAAATATTCTTAGCCTTTCTTTTCTTTGACTGTCAAATGACTGACTGGGTTGCCATTCTCTCTGCCTCATCTAAACCAGAAAGAGAAATATTTGGAAATATTTGGCCTCTTTAGCGCCCCCTACAGGTGGTGCCGTGCTGCTCATAGTTGATTTAATAGCTCAGGTGGCGCAACCCTTCACATCCTTCCCCATGCCGTGGTTTGGAAATCTTTTCACACAGAGGACTCTTTTAAGTCTAAGAAATGCAGTAGCTCCTACCAGATGTTCTCATCCACTCCCCTACCCCACCCCAGAAAAGCCTCTGAGGCAGGAAGTTGGTTTATCCAAGATCAGTTCCCTGGGATAGAGGGGGGCTTTCATCAGGTTCATTATTAACAAGGCTCCATGTTGACTCCCTTTACAGAGTTAAAACAAAATCCCAATGCCCGGGCCCCACTTCACACCAATTAAAACAGAAACTCTAAGCATGAGGTCCAGGTATTGGCCTCTTGTGTTTTTAAGGCTGTCCAGGTGAGGTGTTAAGAACCACTGATTTAAAGACACGCTAAGGAGAGGTGTAAGTGGTCTTTTGAGGCTAGCAGAGGGCATTTCAGTGGCCAGAGTTGGGGCACTCAGCCCAGAACTTGGCATCACAAGGGTTTTCTGCAGCCCACTTTGTGCAGAACTTGGGTGGTATAAATGGGCACTTGATTTGCAAAGGGGAAACAGAAGGAAATCACGTCTTTCTTCCAAAGGGCTTATATGGATTCCTCTATAAGGGAAGAACACACAGAAACCATGCATGTTCCCAATGATATGCATAAATACAGGGGAATAATGACAAAGGCCCCCGTTGAGCTATTTTGTAAGGCATGTGAGTTTTCTGGCCTCATTATAAAGGAAATAAGAATTTTACCAAATAAATGATTAGAGATAAGCCACGTTAATAACAGGCTGCTTAGCAGAAAGAAAATGATTAAAATTAGATAATCTTTATTTAGATAGGTATTGAGTACCGTGTTATTTGTCGGGCATTGTGCTAAGCACTTGACGTACATAATCTCATTTAATCTTTGTGATAACACTTTATACTAGGTGTTATTTATCCCCATGTTATAATGCAGCATCAGTTATTAAGTAATTAACATAAGAATTATTAAGAATCACATTAAACAAAACAGATGACCTCAGCCTGTCTCCAAAGTCCGTACCTTTTTAACAATGCCAGGCTGTACAATCTGGACTTGCACGATTAGCGGTAATACAAAAGATAGGGGGAAAGTGACCATCTTCTCAAGAAGCTGTAGCTTTCCAGAATAGCTAGTTAGCCAGAATGTTCTCCCTGCTGTGAAATCTCCAAGGTGTCCTGAGGCAGGCAGCATGGTATATACATAGAGCTCTAGCAGTGTCTTCCTTGAACCAGCCTTGTGACCGGACTGACTTGGCTTAGTCACTTAGTATTCATTTTCTCACCTATGAAGTGGGCAGGGTCAGAATGGCTGGGTCAGTGGCTTCAAGTTGCCCCATGAAGGCCTGGGCAATGGGTGATCATGCTTGGGAAAGAAGAGACAGACAGGACTTCTCTTATTCCCCTTCAGCCAGAGAAGCTCTTGTTTAGCTGCTTGAGGAGACATTTCCCCTGCCTGGGAATGGGTGAAGGGTACAGGGAGGACATTAGGAAGGAAAACGCTAGGTTAGTGAATTTCAATGACCCTTCCACTTTGATAGGTCTCAGGTCCTCTATTTTTGAGTTTGTGATATTAGGAAGAAACAGTGCCACCACATTGCTTGAGTGTATAATGAACAGGAGAGTGGGTTTTCTAGCCTGTGAAGGGAAGAAAAGCAGCTGAGAGGCAGGAAGGACAGAAAGGCCTCTGCTGCAGCAAAAAGCTCAAAAAAGAAAAAAGAGCCGGGCGCGGTGGCTCAAGCCTGTAATCCCAGCACTTTGGGAGGCCGAGGCGGGTGGATCACAAGGTCAAGAGATCGAGACCATCCTGGTCAACATGGTGAAACCCCGTCTCTACTAAAAATACAAAAAATTAGCTGGGCAAGGTGGCATGTGCCTGTAATCCCAGCTACTCAGGAGGCTGAGGCAGGAGAATTGCCTGAACCCAGGAGGCGGAGGTTGCGGTGAGCCGAGATCGCGCCATTGCACTCCAGCCTGGGTAACAAGAGAGAAATTCCGTCTCCAAAAAAAAAAAAAAAGAAAAAAAGAAGAAAAAGAAAGGCCTCGGCTAGCAGAGCTCCAAGTCACAGTAAACCCGCCTGGGGCTGCATGCTGCCAGGCAGGAATGCGAACAACCAGATTAGACCGAGTAAACCAAGTGCCATTTGTTGCTAAAGAGAGGTTTGATACTGTGACGGTAATACAGTCACAACAAAGGGGGAAGGTGGGCTCCAGGTCTCACCCCCACAAATTGTACTTTCTTTTTACTCAGTAGGGTAAAGTCTCTTGTTCTGTTTTAGTAATTTAGGATTCAAGCAATGTTCTGTTTCTTTGTATTTTTCAGATCTTAAATCCAAATTTCATCCAAGAAGGTGAGTTAAAAAGCATTGGAATTGGGAACATGGAGATTGGTTAAATAAATTTTAGTTAATCTAGCATTGAAGCACTGGCTGCAAGCAGTGGTGATAGAGTTCTGTATTAATGGACAAAGAAAGATGTTTATGATGGATCGTTAACTGAAAAAGACTAAAACTTGCAATATATATAATGGGATCCAATTTTTATAAGAAGTCTGTTTGTATAAAGCCAAAAAGGATATATACAAGAATGCTCACAGTAATTATCTCTGAATTATGACATTATGGAGCTTTTCTTCTTGTCTGTATTTCCTAATTTTTCTACAATAAACAGTTATTAGTTTTTAACAATTTTTAAGGAGACCCAGATGACTCTCCAGTGTTATGCTGAAGGTTATTTGAATCATTATGTGATATGGGTAGGAAATGAGAGTGGTGTGTTAAAAAATGGTTGTTTTGTTCTAAGTTTTCTCTGAATGATGTGAATGTATGTTGATTCGACTATAGTGGCCCCAGAATTCCTTGTGCCCTTGGTGGATGTGACCTGCTTGCTTGGGGACACAGTGATACTGCAATGCAAAGCCTGTGGGCGGCCGAAGCCCACCATCACTTGGAAGGGTCCAGACCAGAACATCCTCGACACTGACAACAGCTCGGCCACATACAGTGTCTCCTCTTGGTAAGCTGATTGCCCTAACACCAGCACCAGCAGTCCCTTAGCAGAGCACTGAGAGGCTGAATGTGGGATGCAGCTTCTGCTCTGGTGACTGGGCTCTGCAAGAGAAGAGCTGCCCTGGAGACTGTTCTAGCTCAAACACTTGGCCTTGGTTAGGAGAGAGATTGAGTTAAACATGAGAGGGGACTCAGTGCTGTGAGAGTCACAGCCTCTGCCACTCAGGCTGCGGCCTGATGGACACCTGCGGCAGTACCAGCACACATTTCCCATGGTGCTCAGAACCACGTAGACATACCTGGGACCAGCAGAATGGTTTGCAAAGACTGCACTCTGGACCCACATTAAACAAATAGGGAAAAACAAAAACCTTTATATCTCAAGTCAGACATGCGCCATACTTAGGAAGAGTTTTTACAGTCACTGCCTTACATTCATCCTGGTAGACGATCTTTCCCTACAGATCCCCAAGTAAATCTCTAAGTCAGAAGATTCAGACTTCTGATGAAGTGGTGAAGGCTCCAGACCTGTAGTAAAAATGTAGGCCTCAAATTTGCACATCCTGAAATTTTTTGTGCCCTTCAGGATGCTGTAAAACAATAAGATGTTTAATTCCTTGCCTAAGAACAATGTTATCAGAAAAAGAAATGACTCATTCCAAAATGTGCAATAGAAAATCAAGCTGCAGGCACGCTTCTACACAAAAAGTCCATTTAACAAAACTTGGCTGACTGTCTCCCAGCCGTCCTGTCAACGTTTATCATTACTGATTATGAACTGGATTGTGTACTGTTGCTTACAATGGACAAATGGTAGCAAGCCCTAGATGCTTAAGAAACATTAGTGGAAGAAGCACCTAGAATCAAGAAACTTTCATTCATTGACTTAATTTGCATGTATGCGAAATAGAAAAAGACCATCATTCCTTGGTATCCCCAGCAGAGACCACCTGGCCAGGTCATAAAATACCAGTGGGTCCAAGAAGCCTAGTGTGAGAGGCAGTGGTTGGTGAGGATCATGAGGAGCTCCAGGGTGTATCATAACCCTGGGCAAGGGGCATGGCTGACTGTGACTTCTGTGTTTCAGAGTCGTTCTCCCCTGGGGATGTTCCTGGACCTTATATTGGGATGAATGGGGAAATTACTATTTAGGTGGTGGAATTTACACTTTCTTAGAAATTCACCTGACTATTTTGAGGATCCCACATATAGAATTTGAAATACTTAAAACATTTTTCTTCTTCTTTCCTTTTTTTTTTTTTTTTTTTTTTTTTTTTTTTGCCAATCAGTCATTATCGATCTGTGAAACTGAAAATATTCTAGGACAAAGTTGCTAGTGATAATAATACTAATAATACTGTGAGCCAGAACTTGCATAGGACTTTGTATATTTCAAACCATGCTCTAATTCTCATGTCATTTTATTTCTTATTCTATTCCTCACGTATAACAAACCTGAGAGATGGGCATGCCGAGAAAATTTTTTTCGATAGAACTGGCGATGTAGGGAGACAGGGTGATCACCAAGGTATGTAGGCTGCTCACAGACTAGGGACTGACCTTGGGCCACAGAACTCTCTGCTCAGCACATCATGTGCCAACCCTGTGGGATTTTATCCAGCAGTCAAGCGTCTCATCACTGGAGTCTAAAGAGCATCCTTTTGGTGTCCCTAGTGATTCTGGAGAAATCACCCTGAAGATCTGCAATCTGATGCCCCAAGACAGTGGGATTTATACCTGCATAGCGACAAATGACCACGGGACCACATCAACATCTGCGACAGTCAAAGTGCAAGGTAGAGCCTCTTTGTTAGTCAAACCTTCCTAAATAATTTGTTTTGAGACAGGTTCTTGCTGTGGCTCAGGCATGGTCTCTGTTCATGGCAGCCTTGACCTCACAGGCTCAAGCAATCCTACTACCTCAGCCTCCAGATCGGCTGGGACTGCAGGCATGCACCACCACGCCCTGCTGATTTTTGTTTGTTTGTTTGTTTGTTTGTTTTGCATTTTTTGTAGAGATGGGATTTCACTGTGTTGCCTACAATACCTTTTAAAACATTTATTTTTTAATTGCAGTAAATCACACACAATAAAATTTATCATCGTAACCATTTTCTAAAAATTCAAATAGCGATGGGGTTTCGCTATGTTGTCCAGGCTGGTCTTATACTCCAGGGCTAATGCGATCCTCCCACCTTGATCTCCCAAAGTGCTGGGATTACAGGTATGATCGACTGTGCCCATTTCACCTTAACCATTTTAGAATATACAGTTCAAAAATATTGGGGTGGGCCCGGCCTAATCAGGTGGGCCCTTTTTTTTTTTTTTTTTTTGAGACGGAGTTTCGCTCTCCTTAGCTAGGCTGGAGTGCAATGGCACGATCTCGGCTCACTGCAAACTCCGCCTCCTGGGTTCAGGCAATTCTCCTGTCTCAGCCTCCTGAGTAGCTGGGATTACAGGCACGCACAACCATGCCCAGCTAATTTTTTGTATTTTTAGTAGAGACGGGGTTTCACCATGTTGACCAGGATGGTCTCGATCTCTTGACCTCGTGATCCACCCGCCTCGGCCTCCCAAAGTGCTGGGATTACAGGCTTGAGCCACCGTGCCCGGCCCTACAGTTCAAAAATATATAAATAAGTGTATAGAAATAAAATATATAAATAAGTTTATAAATTAAGTTTGGTGGCATTAAGTACATCCACATTTTGGGGTTACCATCACCACCATCCATCCACAGAAATGTTTTCATCTTCCCATCTTTCTGAAACTGCATCTCCACCTGTTAAACGATGACTCCCCATTCCTTCCTCCCCAGTGCCTCTTGGCCACCACTGCTCTACTTTCTGTCTCTATCAATTTGTGTTAGTCAGACTTTTATTTTTCTTGAGACAGGGTCTTGCTCTGTTGCCCAGGCTGGAGTGCAATAGCATGGCACCACTCACTGCAGCCTCCACCTCCCAGGCTGCAGCTATCCTCCCATCTCAGCCTCCCAAGTAACTAGGACTACAGGCATGTGCCACCATGCCCAGCAAATTTTTTAAACTTTTTGTAGAGATAGAGTCTCAAACTCCTGTGCTCAAGTGACCCTCCTGCCTTGGCATCCCAAAGTGCTGGGATTATAGGCGTGAGCCACCACACCTGGCCCTACATTTTAAGTGAACATTATAAGCATTCCCTGCAACCTGGGGGAGAAGATGTCCACTGTAAAAATTCAAAACTAAAGTTCTGGCAAATGAGAAGACAACGAATCGTTGCTAAGAGCTGTCTGTGGCCTACCATAAACTTCTCATCAACATGTTAGTTTCCTGGCCAAGCATTATCTTCAGGGTATAGTACTTAGCCCGAGGAAGAACTTCAGACAGCATGATGTGTCTCCTGGAGAGAGGTATGCCACTTGGTGGAGAAGGTCATAGGAAAAAATTGCAACGTGGGTTAGGGAATGTGTCCTCGATGACCTTATACCTTGATGTAAAATGCCAAGTTCTGCAGAAATAGCACCTGATCCTGACTTCTGTCTCCCTAGGTGTTCCAGCAGCCCCTAACCGCCCCATTGCCCAGGAGAGAAGCTGCACGTCCGTGATTCTCCGCTGGCTGCCCCCCTCCAGCACAGGAAACTGCACTATTTCTGGTTACACTGTGGAGTACAGAGAGGAAGGTGCACTATCTTCTGCTCTTCTTTTTCTTTTCTTTTCCTTTATTTTTATGTATTTTTTTTTGAGACAGGGTTTGGCTCTGTCAGCCCAGGCTGGAGTGAAGTGGCACAATGTCAGCCTCACTGCAGCCTCCACCTCCTGGGCTCAAGCCAGCCTCCCACCTCAGCCTCCTGAGTAGCTGGGACTAAAGCGCACACCACCACACCCAGCTAATTTTTGTATTTTTAGTAGAGGCAGGGTCTCACTATGCTGCCCAGGCTGCTGTGAAACTCCTGAGCACAAACAGTCCACTTGCCTCAGCCTCCAGAAGTGCTGGGATTATAGGAGTACACTACCATGCCCCGCCTCCTGCTCTTCTTTTTCTCTCTTCTCTTCATATCTAGGAGTTTCTTCAGAATTGCAAACATAGTAGCCTCTTCATCTTTCAGAAATTGCTCCTTGCTGTGTCTTCTAACTCAGCACAGAGGCCTCAGTATCAAACTGCAGCTGCCTTCTGATCCCAGATGTTGAGCAGCTGTCTTGGCTAAGATGATACAAACCTCCCTGACATATTTATGACCCAGGGCAGCTTTCAAGGTGCCTGTATCCCTGCTTAACATGCTCCATCACCCAGACAGGGATGATCAGGCCCATTTTACAGAAGAGGAGGCTAAGGCCTCAATAAAGTTTAGAAACACAAGATTATAGTAAGTAAGAGGCAGAGCCAGCACGAGAACCCAGATCTCCACTTTGCTAATTGTGGTCTTTCTCCCAGAGAAATAACTACTGTAGTATGGGCAAAGTTCTACACCCTCTAGCCCCAGATAAAATTAAGATAATATATATTTTTAAGTGTGCAGTTTAAAATCATGCAATTTAAATTGTTAAAATTTGTTACATTTACATGCTAAAAGTGAATGTATTTCTTCAGCAGTTAGAAACAACTGCGACTTCCATCTAGTTAGCAAGAAGAATTAGTGAAAATAAGAAGCTACCAGATAGCTCTAACTGTTAACAACACAAGTATGATTATTCAGAATAATAACACAATTACTCTGAATCACATTATGAATTGCACAACTGAACTGAAAGCAAGTGCTTACTACCCTATCCCCTCAACCAAAACCGTTTGTTTTATTCTACTTTCCATGAGGCTTATTATTTTAATTCTTCTTTCTTCTTTTCTATTAAACAGGCCCTATGCAGTTATAAACCCATTTATTTCCTCATCCTTCTTAAGCTGTTCTCTCTTGTGTCTCCCAGGTCAGCACAAAAGTATTAATAGTGAGCTGGGAGACACATTTTACAGAGTTCATATTTACCTTAGCATTATCCAGTTCATAGTTCAGCTTATTAACTAAGTTCTCTTGGGCAAATTGTTTAATATTTTTGAGGCTCAGTTTCTACATCTGTAATATAAGATTAGTACTGTCTACCTCAGAGTTTCTGTGGTTTTAAGAGAGAAAGTTAAATGAAAGAATTATGTTGAAGACACCTTCCACAGTATCTTACATGTACTTAGTGTTCAATACGTGTTAATTTCCATTTTGTTTCCATTTCCAAATGCATATTTTCTCTCATGTTATTTTTTTTATTAAAAATATACTCTTCTGGCCTTATTAAAAGTTTACCATGTGTCCCCTGCAAATTCTGTATTATCTCTTTTCACTCTGGCACTTACGCATTTGAAAGTGGACAGAATCTATAGGCCAGCTTCTTCCATGCCTCTCACCATTTATTTTATCATTTAGGAACTTGAACCCAAACTGCCAGGGTTGGCCCACAGGCTTTCAGAGCCTGACACAGTGACCACAAGCGTCCCTTGAATTGAATGTGTCCATTTTTCTTTATTTGTTTGCTGAAGGTCTTTGAAACAATGTCCCTTTGGCTTTTCTCTTCCCCTCTCCTGGGAAACCATGCACTAGGTTCTCAGATCTGGCAGCAGTCGGTGGCTTCGACCTTGGACACTTACCTCGTCATTGAAGACCTTAGTCCCGGGTGTCCTTATCAGTTCAGAGTCAGCGCCAGTAACCCCTGGGGAATCAGCCTTCCCAGCGAGCCCTCGGAGTTTGTGCGACTTCCAGAATATGGTGAGTCCAAACCCAGCCCCAGTCCCCCAGGCAGTGGGCTGCCTGTCACACACTCACAGGCACGTTGACATGTCAGGCCACCATGCAAGAGGCACCTGGTGGCTTCAGTAAGGCAACATGCTGGAGGCCTGATTAGAGTGTTTCTGTAAAGTATAGCTCCAAGCGTCTTGGGCAAATGTTAGGTCTGCACCCGTGCCTACCCCTGCACCTGCCAAGTCCCTGGGGAATGAGTATGTCTCCAGGAATGGAGAGTTACAGGCAGGAGTCACGAGTCCCATGGATGTTCTCTGCCCCTCTTCTGAGACAGTAATACAAAGCCTCCTCCCACCCAGGCACCCCTGCCAGCTGTAAACATACCTCCCTGCATGAGGGACTCACCCACTTCAAATGGGGGAGAGAAAAGCACCCTGGATGAAGGACTTCAGTACAACATGAGGATTTCATTGTTTCCTCATCCCCAATCATCCCAGAATTTCTTTTTTCAACATGGTTATAATTTTATGTAGATTTGTTGAAAAATTAAGATATACATACAACTAGCTAAATAGGAGTATTTTACAAATATGGTTCTTATTTTGCCCAAATCATCTTCATTCTGGGACATTTTGAAAGAGAAAACTTGGCTATTCTAAAGAAATCTCCAAATGGTGAAATTTCAGGCAGTGCAAGGTAGTGATCTGTGTGTGTTGGGAAGAGCAGTGGGCAGTTGACTGTACTCAGGAGACAATGGACCCATGTGTCTTAGGGTTAAGGGGATTCTGGAGTCCCCAGAGGGGTTTGGGAAACCCTCTAAGTCACCTCTGCCCCCACCTGAATCCAGAAATGCTCTCTAGTTCCAGCCCTACTGTCAGCCCCGTTTTCTCCCAGTGACTTTGACTTTGTTCCCATGAGCCTGTGACTCATGCAGAAACCTAGGCCCTGGGTCTCTGTTTCCTCAGAATTCAAGATGGATAAGCCACCTTCAGTCTCAGCCAGGCTGTGCTCTGGGAAACCTGAGGGAACTGGCTCCAGGGTCAGCTGAGCCAAGCTGCTCATGTGACCCCTCTCCTCCCAGGCTGCAAACTTGCTCCAGCCCCAGATGATGCTGTGTGTTTTGCTATTTGTGAACCTTGGTCCCCAACAGATAACACAAATGTGTATTGATGTGCATGCTTTGTGTGCATGTGTATGAGTGTGTATGTGTGTGTGTGTGTGAATCATTGCCAAGGAATTGACACATCATACAAGGTAATACTGCCAAAGAATCTACTCAGGCATGTATTGTGGGTTTAGTTAAATCCTTCAATATACCAGATAAGCTCATTAAAGCCTATTAATGCCTGAGAAGAGCAGGGTAAGAGAAATTTTTTTTCTTCTCTGTTTTTTGTTTGTTTGTTTGTTTGTTTGTTTTTGAGACAGGGTCTCACTCTGTCTTCCAGGTTGGAGTGCAAGGGTGCAATCATAGCTCACTGCAACCTCGACGTCCTGGGCTCCAGTGATCCTCCCACCTCAGCCTCCTGAGTAGCTGGGACTACAGGTGTACACCACCACACCTGGCTAATTTTTGATTTTTTGTAGAGACAAGGTCTTGCTATGTGGCTCAGGCTAGAAAGAGAAATTTCTAAAATGTCTTTTCCTTTTCTCCTTTCTTCACCTTATAACCGTTCCCTTCTTCTCTCTCTGCATCCTTTTTACATCTCTGATTTTCTCTGGCTTTTCTAGGCCTTAAGAATATTTTTCCCCCTTTAACTTTTTCTATCAAATAGCTACTTTAAAATATCCAAAAGTCGCATTTCTGATTGTCCCGAGTTTTCTCTTTAAGTAGATAGGAGAGAGAGGCTGACTCTGTCATATCAGTTTCCCCTTGAACGATTTTTAAAAATAGCATTCCAGACAATCATGGCATTTTCCCACTGAGTTAGACTCCATATTTGGTCATGAGAATTGCTTTGGGGTTACTCTGGAGCTTTTCTGTTAATCTCTTCTTTATTCTTATATGACATCCCTGATATGGTAAATGGATTCTCTCTCTCCCAAAGATGCTGCCACTGATGGTGCCACCATTTCTTGGAAGGAAAATTTTGACTCAGCTTACACTGAGCTGAATGAAATTGGAAGGTAATGAAGCAGTTTTCTATTCCTTCATTCGTGACCCCCTAGCAATGTCACAACAGGATAATAGCTGCTTGTTATCACTTGTTTGTTTCTTTTACAAATGCAATTCTCTCCACAGAGAGAAAATAACTAAAATATTTATTTGTATTTTCTATTGTTCTCTAACTTCTTAAATTGGATGTTTCATTAATCAATTCTCAGTTTTTCTTTTCTTTCTTTCCTTTTTTTTTTCTTTCTTTCTTTTTTCTTTTTTTTTTCTTTTTTTTTGAGACAGAATCTTGCTCTGTTGCCAGGCTGGAGTGCAGTAGCACAATCTCAGTTCACTGCAACCTCCGCCTCCGGGTTCAAGCAATTCCCATATGTCAGCCTCCCAAGTCGTTGGGACTACAGGCACACGCCACCGTACCCAGTTAGTTTTTGTATTTTAGTAGAGACGGGGTTTCACCATGTTGGCCAGGATGGTCTCGATCTCCTGACCTCGTGATCCACCCACCTTGGCCTTCCAAAATGCTGGGATTACAGGCATGACCACCGTGCCTGGCCCCTTCTTTTCTAATATAAGAATTTAAGGCCCAACATTTTCTTCAAAGTACAATTTTAGCTATAGCTCCCAAATTTTGACATGCACTATTTTCCTTAGTCAGTTATATGTAATTTTATTCAACTATGAATTTTTCTTTGACCTTGTTATAATGGAAACATGTTTTAATAGATATGAAATTTTTTTAATATTTGAGTTTTTGAAATATCTTTTTATTACTGACATCTAACTTAATTTGCATTGTAGTCAGAGAACCTAGAGCAGGCGTCCCCAAACTTTTTACACAGGGGGCCAGTTCACTGTCCCTCAGACCGTTGGAGGGCCGCCACATACTGTGCTCCTCTCACTGACCACCAATGAAAGAGGTGCCCCTTCCTGAAGTTCGGTGGGAGGCCGGATAAATGGCCTCAGGGGACCTCATGCGGCCCGCAGGCCGTAGTTTGGGGACGCCTGACCTAGGTGGTACTGATTGCTCAGTTTTTGTTTGGACTTGCTTTATGTACATTGTTAATTTTTGTAAAAACTTCCCTATGTTCCTGAGAAGACTATATAATCATTAATTGTTGGCTATAGATCTCTATACTGCCCGTGTACCAAGCACATTAATTATTTTATGAGTTTTTCTAATCCCAATCTACCCCCTGCTACACATATACACATACATACCTATCTCTTTCTTTCCTGTTCTCTCTTTTAGTATTTTGGTTAGAGAGCATTTAGTGTGTCCTCAAAAATAAAACAGATAAAAATATGACTTTTAACAGAAAAATTAAAAATCTATTTCCTGGCCCACAAAATAGTTGATGGGAAAGAAACAAAATAGGTCCATCCCTGAGCACACTTTGGTCTCCAGGTGGTCTGGGTGAGGGAACCTGAGTGGATCTTATAGGTTGCCCACTCGAAAGATCATCCACCCTGGATGTATAAATAAGAGAACACCCACTAACAATGGACCATGGGCATCATCTCTATCTCTGATTGGCATCTCTCTGGGAAGCATAACATTTCTTAAGTGGGGTGGTTGTGACGGAAGTTGTAGAGGAAGCCAAAATGGTCCTTATTACTGTGTCTTAGGGCAGGAGTCACAATGTCATTCACTGCCTTTCATTACAGCACCTTTCATCAAAAAAAAACTCTACCTCTCCTTGCCTGCCTTCTTTGTGTAGCCAAACAGAAGAAAAAAGCCAAGGAAAGTTATGTGATGATGATAATGATGATCTCAGTATCTATAGTATTCTAGATACTAAGCAGATACTACATATATACAAGTGTTATTTTTGTTTATTTGTTTGAGCTCTACGGCTTAATACACCAACATTATTTAATTTAATCTATACAACATCGTGAGATACTGTTTGAGTAGATTTTCTTTCTTTCTTTAAAAAAAAAAAAAAAAAAAAAAAGATAGAGACGGGGTATTGTTATGTTCCCCGGGCTGGTCTTGAACTCCTGGACTCAAGCAATCCTCCTCCTACCTCAGCCGCACAAAGTGCTGGGATTACAGGCCTGAGCCACTGCACCTGGCTAAGTAAGTTTATTGTCTTTTCTTTTTTTCTTTCTCTTTTTCTTTTCTTTTCTTTTTCTTTCTTTTTTTTTTTTTTTTTTTTTTTTTTTTTTTTTTGAGATAGGGTCTGTCTCTGTTACTAGAGCTGGAATGCAGTGGCACTGTCATAGCTCACTCCACCCTCAGTCTCCTGAGCTCAAGTGATCCTCCCACCTCAGCCTTCCAAGTAGCTGGGACTACAGGTGCACACCACCACACCTGGAAAACTTAAAACAATTTTTGTTGTTGTTTTGTAGAGATGGGGTTCTCACTATGTTGTCCAGGCTGGTCTCAAACTCCTAGGCTCAAGCAATCCTCCCACCTCAGTCTCCTAAAGTGAAGGATTACAGGCATGAGCCACCTATCTCGCCTGGCCTGAAGTATATTTTCAGTAAAGGAAACTCAGGCTCAGGGAGGTTAAGTAACTTTCTCAAGGCCCCACAGCTAGGAGGTGTGGAGCCAGGATTCAGATTCTGGGCTACCCAACTCCAAGCCTGGGCTTGTTTTACTAGTGAATGTTGTTTCTCGTCATGTCAATTAGTGTCCAAAATAAGCTCTAGTAATTGAAATCTAGTTTGCTCTATTATATTGAAATTGGTGAAGCTCAACATGACCCCCAATAATGGGCCAATTAAATCCCCAGCTGGTTCTAAATGAAATTGGTTCCATCACCTGGATGCCTCAGGTAATTCCTCCAGGAGACATGTGTTTGCTATTATTAGCCATAGGTTAAGACAAGTTTTAGTTAAAACAGATGGATGATTTGATGTTTTTTAAAGGGAAGATCAATTTTCTTATCTGTTCAAAAGGAATGAATGTTTCTGCTTTAAAGTATCTAACAGCCTGAAGCTTTTCCTTTCTCCTAAGAATAGCCCTCATATTTTCAGAAGATCCTTGGAAATAATACATGGAAATTCTTCTTCTTCTTTTTTTCTTTGAGACAGGGACTCACTCTGTTGCCCAGGCTTGAGTGCAGTGGCGTGATCACTGCTCGCTGCAGCCTTAACCTTCCAGGATCAAGTGATCCTCCCACCTCAGTCTCCCAAGTAGCTGGGACCACAGGCATAAGCCATCACAGCCAGCTAGTTTTTGCATTTTTTGTAGATATGGGGTTTCACCATGTGTGCCCAGGATAACCTCAAGTTCCTGAGCTCAAGCAATCCACCTGCCATGGCTTCCCAAAGTGCTGGGATTACAGGCATGAGCCACCACATCTGGCTGAAATAATACATGGAGATGTTAACGTGCGACACAGTGCCAGGGCCTTGGAAGTGAACCAACTTTCTTCATCACACCTAAACCTGGGATTCTGGGCCTATGTGACTCTTCTGTTAAAAGGAGCTCTCTGGCAATTAAATGCTATAAAAACCACAGTGCAGGAAGGAATACGTTCTCTTCTACAGCACATCCACAGAACAAAAGGTCACTTGTGTATGGCATGTTAACCAGGAATGGACTAAACAGGCAACAATGCAGTATAAAGACGGCAGGGGATTGTCACTGGAAATGCTGACCCATTGCCTGTACCCGTTGCTATACAGAGAGGCAGCAGTACCAGGCCTCCATGTGAGATGGCAGGTTGAGCACAGGCATCCATTTTCACTTCCTCCTAAATTACATTGAAACTACAAGGAAGGATTTTTTTAAGTAGGCACATAAGAATGAAGACATTGGAAGAAAAGACAAAAATGAAGTATTAGATGCAGATAAACAGATGTAAGAGTGATAAATGACCTTGAAGACCTGAGTCAGTCAGTCATGAGGTCAAAGAGTCCCAGTGTAATTTTTGTAGCAGAATTACCCAAAGGCTCAGGTATTAGGAGCATCAAGTACCTCTGGAACTAGGTAGAATGAGAATGCTAAAATTGAAAGGATTGGCTAAATTTTTTGTTGTTGTTGTTGTTGTTGTTGTTGTTTTTTTTTTGTTTTTTTTTTTGAGAAGTTGTGTCTCAGAAGGGAGTGAAAACTGATGATTGTTCAGCCTGCCATCCTTACCTAGAGGCCTGGTGCTGCTACCTTTTTAGATTCTATACAGGCAACCAGTCAGCATTCCCAAGGGATAAGCTGACTCCAGTTCTGCTCCCCAGCTTCAAGTATTTGTTGATTGTCTTTGTTCATCCAAGAAGAAACTGGACCGACCTTCCCTCCCTCCCTCCCTCCCTCCCTCCCTCCCTCCCTCCTTCCTTCCTCCCTCCCTCCCTCCTTCCGTCCTTACTTCCCTTCTTCCTTCCTCCCTTTTTTTCTTCTTTCCTTTTTTTCTCTTTTATCTCCCCAACTTTGATGCAAGTGTGAGCTAAATCAAAGAACTGTGCAGCATGCACAATGAGCAAAAACCCCCAAGAAAAACCCACTTTTCTGGCCAAAGGACAAAGAAAAGTGAACCCTTTGAGCTGGGGGGAACAGAGGAATTCCTGCTTTGTTTGGTTTTTTTCTCTCTGTCTCCTTACTGTCACTGCCTCACCCCGAGGGCAGTCCTGTGAAATGTCATGACAGTTCAGGAAGCTAAACGTCTGAGGGAATCCCATCTTTCTGGCCAGACGACTTCAAAAAGGGACCCATGGGAGGTAAAGAACGTGGGAGAAATTTCAGGAGAAAGCAAAGAAGATCTCCTAATTCTATATGAAATGACTCAAATCCTGGGCCACCTTCCAGCTGTGCATGTGTAAGGCACATTCAGAGAAATATAGCAAAGCTCTGAGAACTGGACGACTGTGTAAACCACTGCTCAGTGACTCAGAGTTTAGTCTCAGACTAATCTTCGTGTGGTGCTCACTTTGAAAACTGAGCTGACAGTAGGACCGCCTCCCACAGAAGGTGAGACAGAACTTGCAGTCTGAACCTAACCAAGTTGACTGCTGACCAAAACATACAAATGAACCAAAACTCAACCTTCTACAGAGGATTTTAACAAAATCAGAGTCTCACAGCATAACATTCAAAATGTTTAGGATACAATCTAGAATCGCTCAACATTGCAAAAAGCAGAAAAATCTTTAAAAATTCTTGGGAATGCCGGGCACGTGGCTCACACCTGTAATCCCGGCGCTTTGGGAAGCTGAGGCCGGAGGATCACGAGGTCAGAAGTTCGAAACCAGCCTGACATTAACAGTTAACATTACCAATAACAATAGAAGTTAGAAGACAACAGAATAATTCCTTTAAAATCATGAATGAAAAATGTTCCCAACGGATTACACTCAGCTAAACTCACAATCAAGGATACAGGTAGAATAAGTACAAATTTTCAAATATGTAAGTCTCAAACAATTTATTTCCCATGCACTCTTTGTCAGAAATGACTGAAGATAGCATTCTATCATGCAAAGGAAAAGTATCCACAGTTTACTGAGGCTCAACTGTGAATAGCATGGACATAATGCAGTAATGTAGACACTGAATATTGTTTATAATTCTATTGGGAAGACAGTGGATGGGGGTAGTGGTTATGTGCCAGGGACAGAGGGAGGAAAGAGGCTAAACTTTCATCTGCCATAGTGGGATGTCAACAGAAATAACTAAAACTGAAAAATGAAGAGGTAGCTACTCAAAGCATACTATTGAGAGTCATAGAAGTAAATATTTCAATCATCTGCTAAACTGTATTAAATTGATGTATTATACTGCCTCTCAGACAGGGCACAATGTTTCACACCTGTAGTCCCAGCACTTTGGGAGGCCATGATGGGTGGATCGCTTTGAGCTCAGGAGTTCAAGACCTGGGCAACATGGCAAAATCACGTCTCTACAAAAAAGTACAAAAAATTAGACAGGTGTGGTGGTGCAGCCTGTAGTCCCAGCTACTCAGGAGGCTGAGGTTGGAGGATCGCTTGAGCTTGGGAGGCAGAGATTGCAGTGAGCCAAGATCACCCTACTGCACTCAAACTTGGGTGACAGAATGAGACTCTAGGGAAGAGAAAATGGAGGTGAATTTTTTTTTAATAATGAACCTGTAAAGGTAATTGTTTTTTTAAACCATGGTGCTTCATAACTTTGACAACTACAAAACTTTTTCTAAAAATTAAGCTACAAGTACCTTGACATGGCCACTAAATTCAGGAGAGCTAGCCTCAGCATTCCATTGTTTTCATTGTTACATTTCACTCCTCCACAAGAAGTGACTTACGATAATCAAACTCACAAAGAGAGTCCTGTTAAAAACCAGAATGGCAATTTATTAATTTATGATGTGAAACAAAACTGCCAGCTTGAACAAATATGTTTACTGTGCCAAGAATATTTGGTAAATAATAGATAATAAATAGTTGTCTAAGACTTGTTTTACTGATTAGTACATTCTTTTTTAAAAAAAAAAATTTTTTTTTAAGAGAAAGGATCTCACTGTGTTGTCCAGGCTGGTCTCAAACTCCTGGGCTCAAGTGATCCTCCTGTCTCAGCCTCCTAAAGCATTGGGATGATAAGCATGAGCCACTGCACCTGGCCTCCTTAGCACATTGTTTTATTTTATGCAAATATATGATGGGAAAAAAAAGTATTCTTAGAAAGTTGCTTGTAGAGCACAGAGCCAGGTCAAGGAGGAGGATCTTCATGGTAGCCATGACACACCCATTTCTGTTGGAGGAATGGGCTGGTCTTCAGACTGTTAACTCCTTTGCTCGTGGGTTAGGACACCTCATGGGCAGGGCTTAGATGGCACTGCCTTGTCACCTCATTGACCCTCCCATCATCTGCCCCATTGCTGACCTGTGCCCCTACAGAGCTCTCTTGCCACCTTCCGCAGGGCAACAGCTGCCTGAGAAGCATTCTATTTCAGGAGTGGGTAATTTTGTCAGATGTACTAATGGCAGGGTGGTTATATATTTTTAAGTGTTCTTGTCGCTAGGGATGTAAACTGAAGTATTTATGGGTGAAATGACATTATATCTGGATTTGCTTAAACTACTCCAGAAAAAAAAAAAAAAAGCAGGGGATAGAAAAGAGATCAGTGAAACAAAATTGATTAAAATGTTCATGATTATTGAAGCTGGGTGCATAGGAGATCTATTTCGCTATTTTCTTTACTTTTGTGTATATTAGAAATTTTCCATAATAAAAAGATAACAAACATCAAATGAAATAATTGACTCTTCAAAAACGTTTTTTTTTTTTTTTTTTTTTTTTTTTTTTTTTTTTTAGGCGGAGTTTCGCTCTTGTTACCCAGGCTGGAGTGCAATGGCGCGATCTCCGCTCACTGCAACCTCCGCCTCCTGGGCTCAGGCAATTCTCCTGCCTCAGCCTCCTGAGTAGCTGGGATTACAGGCACGTGCCACCATGCCCAGCTAATTTTTTGTATTTTTTTAGTAGAGACGGGGTTTCACCATGTTGACCAGGATGGTCTTGATCTCTTGACCTCGTGATCCACCCGCCTCGGCCTCCCAAAGTGCTGGGATTACAGGCTTGAGCCACCGCGCCCGGCCAAAAACGTTTTTAATGGGAGAGCTAAGCTGATAGGACACAAAGGCAGAAGAATGATACAATGGACTTTGGGGCCTTGGGGGAAAGGGTGGGAGGGGGTGAGAGATGAGAGACTATGTATTGGGTACAGTGCACACTCCTGGGGTGATGAGTGCACCAAAATCTCAGAAATCACCTTTAAATAACTTACTCATGTCACCAAACACCACCTGTTCCCCAGAAACGTATTGAAATTTTTAAAAATCCAATTTGCAATGGCGCTACAGTCTTTGATCTTTTCATGATGTCATGGCCCCATAAAGAGGTAGCATTTGGCCGGGCGCGGTGGCTCAAGCCTGTAATCCCAGCACTTTGGGAGGCCGAGGCGGGTGGATCACGAGGTCAAGAGATCGAGACCATCCTTGGTGAACATGGTGAAACCCCGTCTCTACTAAAAATACAAAAAATTAGCTGAGCATGGTGGCGCGTGCCCGTAGTCCCAGCTACTCGGGAGGCTGAGGCAGGGGAATTGCCTGAACCCAGGAGGCAGAGGTTGCGGTGAGCCGAGATCGCGCCATTGCACTCCAGCCTGGGCAACAAGAGCGAAACTCCGTCTCAAAAAAAAAAAAAAAAAAAAAAAGAGGTAGCATTTGTGCTAGACCTTGAAGGAAATAGAACTGGCATGTATGAGAAGGAGAAAAATAATAATAAAAATGTTTTTAAAATTATTATTGAGTAGAATTCCTCCTCCTTTAACATTATTGCTGTTTCTATTTTGTATTTCATAGAAATATGTGTTCTGCCTAGAAAACTGAACTGCTGTTGATGGTTAAAATGGCAGAGAAAAGGCCGGGCGCGGTGGCTCACGCCTGTAATCCCAGCACTTTGGGAGGCCAAGGCAGGTGGATCACGAGGCCAAGATGTCGAGACCATCCTGGTCAACATGGTGAAACCCCGTCTCTACTAAAAATACAAAAAATTAGCTGGGCATGGTGGCGCGTGCCTGTAATCCCAGCTACTCAGGAGGCTGAAGCAGGAGAATTGCCTGAACCCAGGAGGCAGAGGTTGCGGTGAGCCGAGATCGCGCCATTGCACTCCAGCCTGGGTAACAAGAGCGAAACTCCGTCTCAAAAAAAAAAAAAAAAAAAAAAATGGCAGAGAAAAATATTAGTTAAAAAAATAATTACATTAGGCTGGGTGTGGTGGCTTAGGCCTGTAATCCAAGCACTTTGGAGGCCAAGGAGGGCGGATCACCTGAGGTTGGGAGTTCAAGACCAGCCTGACCAACATGGTGAAACCTCGTCTTTAAAAAAAAATTTTTAATTTAAAAAATTACATTAGTTATGTCAGGCAGACTCACACCTGTAATCCCAGCGCTTTGGGAGGCCGAGGAAAGAGGCTTGAGCCTGGAAAGTTGAGACTGCGGTGATCCGTGATCACATCACTGCACTCTATCTAGCCTGGGTAACAGAGCAAAACCCTGCCTCTAAAAATAAGATTTATATTATATATAAAAATATAATTTATAATACAATTATATTATATATAACATAAAACATTAGTTTTTCACATCTCAAAAACCCTAAAATGCTAAAGAAGGAAAAATGGATTTTCTGAATAACATTATAACTAAAAATACAGGAGAGAAAGATTCCTAATAAAATCTGTCCGACCACTTCATGCAAAACTTTACACACCCGTGAATAAAATATATGTAGTGAATTGATGAGTATTGGCAAACTCTCCCTTTTGTTTTTCCAGAGGCCGTTTCTCTATAGTAAAGAAATGTATCCACAAGGCTACCCGCAAAGATGTGGCTGTGAAATTTGTTAGCAAAAAAATGAAGAAGAAAGAACAGGCTGCCCACGAGGCCGCCCTGCTTCAGCACCTACAGCACCCCCAATACATCACTCTCCATGACACCTATGAGTCCCCCACATCCTACATCCTGATTTTGGAACTGTAAGTACAGATGCTGCCTCTCTTAAGTGGCCCCCATCCATTTAGGTTATTTTTTGCCCACAATTAATGGAAAAGGTAGTTACGTTTTATATAAGGTCCTATCATTGCAAAGTGCTGATATAACATGTACTCTCTCCCCCATTTTATAATCAATGTCACTTCCATTTCAAAGATTGAAAAATCATAATAGGGATAAGGGAGGTCCTTAAAACTAGCTCCTTACAACTAGGAGTGGAGAAGCTAGGACTTGAACCCATATCTCTCTTACTTCCATTTTTATCTTCTTTTATTATGGACTCTTGGACTGGGCAGGAGTTTGGGAAGAGCTTGTTGACAGTAGGCTGGTTGACAGGGTGGAATTGAAATGAAAGAGAGGGCTCTATGTGTCCATTGACCACCATAGCATCTCCAGTCTACCACCCAAGAAATTCCTTCTAAGGGAGGGCATTACGTTCAAAACATTCCACTCATTCCAAATTTTCTAGGGACTTAGGCAACCATATAGGTGACCCCTGAATGGATTTGATAGAGCAATAACATCCCATTCTCCCCACCACTACCCCAGGCTAAGAAGAGACAGTATGCTCTGTGATTTAGATCAATATTCCAGAGATTAAAGAGAACAGGGTCTTTTCAGAAGTGATACAAATGACAGAAATATGATCAGATTGGTGCTCATGAGGCGCTTGGCCTAGACAGGAGACAGACATTTCTGCCAAAGACCATCGCTGCGTATGGCTCCACCATAACCCGTTTTCAGTAGCGAATGGCCTGCATTCTCCATCTTTCAACTGTCGTGTTAGTCTGGCTCTTATGTGTTTGTTAGTCTAGGTGTGTGTGTATGGGATCTTTGAGTCAGTAACTTGTCTCAGATTGATTTATGATAAAATAAGAAGGCAAAAATGCAAACAAGTTTGGCTATTTTTAAAATCAGCTGGAAGAAAGAAACAGAACAAAACCAGTGCTGCTAGCATCCGTAATCCTTTTGTGAGACTTAACTTGATATAGTTAAGTAGTTGGTAGTTTGTCACTTTAGACTTAACAGTCTCTTTCAGAGCCTGACCTGTTTGTAGGGAACTTCCTAACTCAAAGGGTGTATTCTATTGCCAGTGAACTATCCTCATCCACAGGTGACAACATCTGTCCTTGTGTCCCAATGAAAGGTATTGTCAGCCAGGCGCAGTGGCTCACACCTGTAATCCCAGCACCTTGAGAGGCTAAGGTGGGCAGATTACTTGAGGCCAGGAGTTCGAGACCAGCCTGGCCAACATGGTGAAACCCCATCTCTCTCTACTAAAAATACAAAAATTAGCTGGGCATGGTGGCAGGCACCTGTAATGCCAGCTACTTGGGAGGCTGAGGCAGGACAATTGCTTGAACCTAGGAGGTGGAGGTTGCAGTGAGCCAAGATCACACCACCACACTCCAGCCTGGGCCATAGAGTGAGACTCTGTCTCAAAAAAAAAAAAAAAAAGGCAGTGGTGGGGGGAGATATAGTTTTTGCCCTCAAAGAGTTACAAGTTTAATGAGGAAGACCAATAGATAGATGGATGATTTTAACATAACATGAAAAATACTAAGAAAGAAATGAATATGGCTGGGCATGGTTACTCCACCTGTAATTCCAGCACTTTGGGAGGCTGAGGCAGGTGGATCATGAGGTCAAGAGATCACGACCATCCTGGCCAACATGGTGAAACCACGTCTCTACTAAAAATACAAAGATTAGCTAGGTGTGGTGGCACACACCTGTGATCCCAGCTATTCGGGAGGCTGAGGCAGGAGAACCGCTTGAACCTGGGAGGCGGAGCTTGCGGTGAGCCAAGATAGGCAAGACTCTGTCCGAAGAAAAAAAAAAATAAAAGAGAAAGAGAGAGACAGAAGGAAGGAAGGAAGGAAAGAAAAAAAGAAAGGCAGGCAGGCACTGGAGAAGATTGCTGTGAGAACATAGGTATCTGGTTGGACTTGAAGTTCAGGGAAAGTTTGTGACTGTGGAGAGGCAGTGCCTGAGCTAACCCCACATGCTGCATCTCATTATGCTGTTACGTTATGCTTATTTGGCACATACTTACGCTGACAATTATGTGACTGTGGCCTCCCCTTAGGTGGCCACCAGAATTGCTGGGAAAGCTTTTCTTTACCAGGTAACTGAGATTCAGATTCCCTAGTCTAGGGTGAGATGTGGGCATCTGCCTTTTCCAAAATCTCTAAAGGTGAATTTGGTGGCTAAGATTCTCTCTCTCACTTGGAGTAGTGCTGCTGTTAATTGCTCCCTTAATCACTCCAAGAAGTTCAGGGGAACACAGTTAACAAGCCCAATCCTACTCCACTCTACTCTGATCACTCTTACCTCACCCCTAGCAGGGTCAGAGGAAAGCAAAGGAGGCTTGCGTGGGTCCTAACCTTTGCTCCTGTCAGGGAAAGTAGAAGACACTAGTGAAAAGGAGCAAGCTAGAGGGGAAAAGGGAAACTTGACTAGGAGGATTTCAGCTGCAACCGAAAGTCATTTCTGACCCTGGATCAGGCTGCTCTGCATGGGCATTTTCTGGGATGTCCCTTTAACAGCTCAATGCACACTAAAGAATAACTGCCTGACTCCTTCCTGTAAGAGGATAGAGGGTGCCTGAGAATAGCTACCATTTATTTAGCACTTACCATTTATTTAGCTACCAATTATGCTTAAATGCTTCATCATCTTGCTCCATCCTTGCACAATCCTCATAATGAAGTAGTGAATAGTAATATTCACCCACTATAAGATAATATTAATTCATTATATTAATATAATGAATAATTATTATTTTGTTGCTATTCTTATACCCACTTTAAAGATTGTTCACTTTGGTGAAACCAAAACACAGAATGCAAATGACTTGCTCCCAGGCTTCAGCAGGTAGGTACCAGAACCAGGATTCAGATCTGGGTCTGGATGGCTCCATATACCATGTTCTCAATCACAGTCCTCAAGGTTGGAAAAGTTGCCCAGAAGGCAAAAGATTCAAAAAAAGATCAAGGGGCTGGGCACAGTGGCTCACACCTGTAATCCCAGCACTTTGGGAGGCCAAGATGGGTGGATCACTTGAGGCCAAGAGTTCAAGACCAGCCTGGCCAACATGGCAAAACTCTGTCTCTACTAAAAATACAAAAATTAGCTGAGTGTGATGGCACAAACCTGTAATCTCAGCTACTAGGAAAGCTGAGACATGAGAATCGCTTAAACCCGGGAGGTGGAGGTTGCAGTGAGCACAGATCATGCTACCACACTCCAGCCTGAGTAACAAGACAAAGAAAGACTCTGTCTCAAAAACAAACAAACAAACAAAGTTGGAGGGGGGATCAATAATGCAAAGAACAAACCTTGCCTACTTTCTGTTTTCCCCAACTAAAAATTGACAAATGAAAATAGTTTGGCTAGGTGCAGTGGCCTCCTCCGGAAATCCCAGCTATGTGAGAGGCTGAAGCAAGAGGATCACTTGAGCTCAGGAGTTCAAGGCTGCAGTGAGCTATGATTGTGCCACAGCATTCCAGCCTGGGTAACACAGTGAGACCTCATCTCTAAAATTAATAATAAAATAAAATTAAGACATACTTTGCAAAACACATGTGGGGCTGCTTGTAGCCACTAGATTATGGTTGCTGAGAATGTTGCTGAAGTCTCTCTTGGTGAAGGCTTTCTTTACTTAGCAATCTAACCTCTTAAATGGGTGTCACAACTTTTTTGTTATGAGCAATTTTTAGAATTAATGAAAGAGAATGTTTCTTAAACAAGTATACAGATTTCTTCCCTGCAGTACACCAAATATATTATATTTACTTTAGTTCTGAACATTACACTAACTTTGGGCTCTAACTAAAATGTGCATGTGTTGCACATTTGGTCTTCAGTTATAACAAGGAGTATGAGAGAGCTTAGAGATCTTAACTGATTTCTACATGAGTCATTTTTCTGTTTCTTCATTTCAAACATATTTCCTTTGTCTTTCCCTGCCTACTTTCAGGATGGATGATGGCCGGCTGTTAGACTACCTTATGAATCATGACGAACTGATGGAGGAAAAAGTAGCTTTCTATATCCGAGACATCATGGAGGCTCTGCAGTACCTTCACAACTGCAGGGTTGCACATTTGGACATAAAGGTAATAAGTGGGAACCTTGCAAGGAATACCTTAAATGGTCAAGTCCAACTTACCAGTCATTACTCATAAGGAATATAAATTGAAATTCATTTTATTAACTTCAAGTACAACATTACAAATTTTTTTTTTTTTTTTTTTTTTTTGAGACAGAGCCTTACTCTGTCACCCAGGCTAGAGTGCAGTGGTGTGATCTCAGCTCACTGCAACCTCTGCCTCCCAGGTTCAAGCAATTCTCCTGCCTCAGCCTCCCAAGTAGATGGGATTACAGGCACTCACCACCACACCCAGCTAATTTTTGTATTTTTAGTAGAGACAGTTTCATGATGTTGGCTAGGCTTGTCTTGAACTCCTAGCCTCAAGTGATCTGTCCGCCTCAGCCTCCCAAAGTGCTGGGATTACAGGAGTGAGCTGCCACGCTCATCCCATTATGACTATTAAAGAGAATATGGGTTGTCACACAATTTAAATGTATCATTCATGAATTAATTAGAACATACCAGAGCCACAGTGACATCCAGTGTGAGAGAAGGTAGGGAAGTTCTACCTACCTAATCTAACTTTATAGAAGTAAGCCAACAAATGTCATCTTGTCTTCCATGCTGCTCAAAAAGAAGCCCCTGTTCTCCAAAATGAGTAATTTATTATTACCTTGATTCAATGCAGAAGTAGTGTAGTTAAGAAGATATGATTTTCAATGTCAAACAGCTTGACATTGTGGTGGTACTTCAATGTCTCTGAAGTACCACCACACTCAATATGCACTAAGTTCTAAGTTCAATATGATAGTTTGATGAAACTCCAGTGCACTTCGCATAGTGCATGGGGAATTTTCCATACACTGTAGGCTTTATCAAAGAATAGCATAACCGTGTTTGAATTAATGAGGCAGTCTGAGTAGTGAAAACAGAGGCCTGAACTTCCCTTCTCTTCTCCCTGCCTTCATGGATCTCCGCAGCCTGAAAACCTGCTCATTGACCTACGGATTCCAGTGCCTCGAGTGAAGCTCATTGACTTGGAGGATGCTGTCCAGATCTCGGGTCACTTTCACATTCACCACCTGCTGGGGAACCCCGAGTTTGCTGCCCCAGAAGTCATCCAAGGCATCCCTGTCTCCCTGGGGACAGACATCTGGAGCATCGGGGTTCTAACATATGTCATGCTGAGTGGGGTCTCCCCCTTCTTGGATGAGAGCAAAGAGGAGACATGTATCAACGTATGCAGGGTGGATTTCAGCTTTCCCCATGAATACTTCTGTGGTGTGAGCAATGCTGCCAGAGATTTTATCAATGTGATCTTACAGGAAGACTTTCGGAGGCGGCCCACAGCGGCCACATGCCTACAGCATCCATGGCTGCAGCCCCATAATGGCAGCTACTCTAAGATCCCCCTGGACACCTCCCGCCTAGCATGCTTCATAGAACGCCGCAAGCACCAGAACGATGTACGGCCTATACCCAATGTCAAGAGCTACATTGTCAACCGGGTGAACCAAGGGACGTAGCTATCTCCCAGCCCCTGTGGTTTCACATAGAAGTGCAGTGTGAACCAAAGCAAGACTGAATGTGACTGTAAATAATTCTGTTCGTCATTTCACTCCATGCAGTTCTCTGAATTGAGAGATGTACCTCTTAAACCTCGATAATAGTTATTCAGGGTCTGAGCAGCAGTAAAAGTCACCCACAATCCAGGAGCTTTCCAGAAAGTCATTTGAAGAAATAAAGAGGCAAAGGGTCACAGAAGTGTTCAGAAGAAGGGCAAGGATAAGAAAAATATTAGCTGTTATGAAATTTTAGCTGCATCTTCCAAAATGAGTGGTTAACTGGGCAAACCTTAAGCTCACAAGAGTGTAAAAGATCTCTGGCTTTGCTGAAATTTTAAGCCAAAAGTTCTATTTAATGGAGATGTCATGTATATCAACTATTCTGGTTTAGATAACTTAGATATAGTTTCTTAATAGGTTACATATACACATACAGTATAATATATCCCATTCAGGTTTCAGAGTTTTCTAATATTAAAGAGATATATATTAAATCAATCACAAGTAAGTGACTGCTCCAGTTAAGACAGTAATTTATTTACCGAAGCATTACATTGTTTTGACTAAGCACAATCAGATGGCAAGTTTTCTAGAGCATTTTATAAGTCTTGTATAGAAATCTTTTACCAGAACCTGTGCATTAAGAGAAAGCAATGTTGCCCTTTTGAATGAGAAGATTTTTTCTGTCAATCACAGGTTTTTTGATTGTTAGGTTCTTTCTGTGTGTGAAACACAACCTGCAAATTCACTGGTAGCTCAGAGTTAGTCTGGCAAGAAAGCCTATCGGGAAATAAGTTCAAATACAGTATGAGCTGCGGGAGTATTTTTGTGTCTACACTGGGTTTGAAATAAGTAAATGAATATGAGCGATTCATACAAAAGGGCAAATGGAAACCTTTCCTATGGTTCCTATGAAAAACACACCAATACTTTCTGATTTCTTCTACGGCTGTAGAATACCGTCTTTCAGAAAGTTGGCTGGCTTTATTTCTAACTCCTTATTGAAGCTATGGGGTGCTTACTAAAAGGAGGCAGCCATATAGTCCTTCTAAAGGCCTGGCCCTAAGCCCTTTCTAAAGCCATGGGACAAAACCTGACACATCACCCTAACAGAACATTAAGTTGTAACTGAGATTGCAATACCTGTTACCACTCAGCTGCTGATAGTTTTCTGAACTAAAAGGACTAATTTTACTTTGAGGCCAATGCTGCTTTCTGGTATATATTCTTCATACAAGATTATTATTAACTGCTCTTTTTCCCTCTGGTGGGAAAAAAAAATTAAACCTGGGAGTTTCATGGGTTTTCTTTGTTTATTTTTGTTTGTGGGGGAGGGAGTTTGTTTTTTGTGTTTGTACATGATCCATCCTTAGTTTGCTAGAATGTGTGTTGAAATTGCTATTATACAAGTAAGATTTTAAAAATGTAACTCAAGTGTTTGTTCAAATCAGGTTTCATGGCATTGCTTCTCTCCTATAATGGGATAGAGAAAATTAAAATCTTGCAGTACGGAAGTTCAAGAAGAGAACTTACGAAGGACGAATAGAACTACAAATCTATCTAAATGAAAAAGAAATGGTGGAAACTAAGCCTGAACTTTAACATATAAAGAAAACACTTGTTCCCACAGTGGAAATGGAAAATTAAAAATCATCATCATTTTTTTTCTTATTGGTTTCAAAGTCAGCTTCCTCATTCCATGCAAGATTATAGATGGATACTTTAGTGGAAAGTATAAGCAATAAGACTAGATAGCACTTAGTGTTTTCGGGATTAACCAAATGTGTGGAAACCGACTCCGACTGTATCCGACTATATTTGTTTTCTAGTTTTCAAATGGCCCTGGGTCATTAAGCCTCACTCCCTCAGACGTCTCTCTTAACTATACCCTATAGTCTTCATTTGAACCTTTATGTATGTCCAAACACTCTATGATACAATACATAAAAATTTAAATCATACTTACTAAAAATCCTTTTAGTAAACATGTTTACTGAAATTTTTTAAAATTCAAAAGATATTTAGTACATTTTTTTAGTAAACGTTTTCATTATGCTTAAAAATTTTTAAACATCTTTATTAAAAATCCTTTTAGTAAACATGTTTACTAAAACCCTTTCAGTAAACATGTCTTCATTATGGTATACACATAAAGGAGGAAAGCCCAGCCCATAGGGTTTGTCATGGGACAGACTGCAGGCTCTGAGGATTCCCAATATCTATAAAGTCTGGCTCGGCAAGTTCTGTTCTGTCCACCGTGGAGGATTTGAATCAAGATCCCCCTGCTGAGCCAGTCTGAGTTTTTATAACAAGCTGAGTTTCTTCTTGAGAAGGTCAGGGCCCAGGACGGTGATGCATAGACCATGACGGGTGTCGGGGGAACGGGGGGTTGTTGAAATTATGTTATGGGGGCAGTTGACGGAATGTTAGACAGAACCCAAGCTTTCATATCAGCTTTTACAACAGTGTTGGGAGGATCCAAATGTGGGGTTGCGTGGAATTCCCCCAAGTACACGTACTGGGGAAGTGAGAAGACGGGAAAGGAGAGACGTAGAAAGGAAGTAGAATGGTTTTGGGGCCAAGGTACAATCATTAGACTAGAATGAACTTAATAGAGGTCCCAAGAGAAAGGGAGTATATTTTATATAGTTTCATAACAGAGGGAAACTAACAGGAAGGCTCCCTGTCTGCAAGGCTCCTGGTCCCTCCCAACAGGGATAAGAGAATAGTCTTGGTTCAAGAGTTCTCCAGAGCAAGTTGGAAATAACTAGGAATACCAGACGATGGGCCTGGGAAATGTAATTTAGGTTGTTCTGAGGGCAACCATGGTTAGGGAAGAAGGATCAGGGACCACTCTTGTTCCTATTTTGGCAGGGAGATTTATTACTTGGTAGTAAAGAAGAGAGGAGAGAAGAGAAAATAGTCCACTTCTATCATAATGATGGTTGTCCACAGTGAGACTGAACTCCCAGCTGAAATGCGAAAAACAAACAATGGTCAAGGTCACACGTTTCTTGCTTGGCTTATATTCATTGCATAGGGTTCTAAGGTTTTTGTTTTGTTTTTTAAGGGTGGGACACAGAAAGAATGAAAAGATCAGGGACAGCCCATAATAACTTTTAAGAAGTATTAATGTAATGATTTCCTACATCTTTTGCATTTGTTTCAAATTAAATAGATATATATCCAAGTATAGTTGAATGTGGTAAAATTTTTAAGAAAACAAATGGTAATGGTGGAGATGTCCTTCAAGTCTCTCTCAGCCATAAACAGTGTAACGGGGAGTAGAGGAAGCAGAGGAGAACGCTGGCTTCACTGCTTTGTGGTCCACAAAGCCTTTATAAATAGTAGTGCCTTTCAGAGGGGAGAATGGGAGATAAAGAAGTTCATTGCATTTAGATTTACTGATACTGCAGCATTTTTTCTTTATTTTAAAAATGTCTTGTAAATGCAAACATCTGAATATGGGGTGGAACCAGGAATTTTTGAGCTTCGATCTCAGCTATTCCTGATTCATCTCTTCTTACAGAAAGTCTTTGTTTTTTCTTCTCAAAATGTCCCCATTGGTAAAATGAGAATTGGGGGTGGGGAAAGAGGAAGGACATTAATCTTACAGGAATGTTGAGAAATAACCTTGGTTGGGACATCTATAAAATACTTTGATTTTTTTTTTTAAAGTGCTACACACTGCCAGTGCTAAGAATTTTATTGATAGTAACTTTGAACATTCCAGGTTTTTAATATTCACATCTTTAGATACAATTTATAAACTCATGAGATTAAATTCTGCAAATTGCTTTCAGATTAAATTCTGTAACTTTCAGTTGGAAGTATTAGGTGCTCTTTGTCTAAATGTTATTTGGTCTTAGCGTATAATTTCGATCATTTAAGAGCTTATCTACTGAAAAAAGTTAGAGCTGATGAAGTCTTATGTCCATAAGCCGTTTTCTCCAGTATTTTTTATGGCAAGTGCAAAGAGTAAAATGCCCTCAAAAGCAGCTGCTACCTTCTCTTCTCAATCTTTATGCTCTGGAAAGACAGACAGAAAAGAACCCAACAACCATTTTCCTCACTTGGGAGGGCAGAAGTGAGAAGAAAACATCTTCTTACATCACAATTTATTTTTTACAGTCTCACAGGAATCTATTATAAGAGGCAAATTAAAGGCACAGGCAAGTTAAATGCATAGAAATGAATTTGACTGTTCATTTTTGGAGGACAAACCTTGAAACTTTTGTTTTTAAGATGGCTTAGTCTTTCAGGAGTTGCATATTTGCTGTCCCATAACCCCCATGATTAGATCCCATGAGTTAGGCATTACTTTTTTCTTGCCTCTGTAGAAGAGCATGGCAATTTAGATTTGTGAGAATATGAGGAAGTAAATATAATATAAACTAAATTCCAGTTATTTCTGTGCATCAACTGAAATTTTGCCTCATGCATTTAATAGAGGAGGAAATATTTTGTAAATAAGAGGTCTTTGTAGAGGGGCAAAGTTCAGACTCACCATGTCCTTATTCAGTGTGGACAATGAATTGTGCTGGATGAGTTTTGAGGAATGTAGACCTTCCTTTCTCTCCTGGGTTGCACCTCTGTGGAGTCTGGGTTAGACAAACACAGTATGTGACCTTTCAGTGGATTTATTTATAAAACTGCACCTTGATTTTTCTTCACTATTTAAAGTCTAGGAATGATTTGAGGATGAATGATTAAACCCAGGGTGAGCCTAGAGAAGACAGAGCTCACACATGTATCATCCAGAAAAGGAAAGCTACTATGTTAATATTTATTTTCTAAAAATAGTAAGACTCTCAGTTGTTTCATTAATTCTAAAGGGTTAAAAAGGGCTGAAATTTGTTTATAGCACTAAATGTTTTTAATAGGAAATATTCACATAAAAAATTTATACAGAAGTAGTAGAACACAATTCTCATAAGAACATATTTTCTATGAAAGGCATTTCTTCCTCATCTTCAATAAATATAAAGAAGTTAGAGGAGAGGAAAAAGCAGTCACTCCAAGGCAACTTTTCATCTTTGAGGGACATTATGAAAAGCCTGAAATTAATATGCACAGGCCATTGCGTTTTTCTGTGAGAAATGTGCCCATTTGCTGTGATATTCTAAAGTGTGTTCAGATTTAGGTTTTACTCAAATGATCAAGATAACAGTTTAGCTAGATAACTGCTATTTCAGATAGTGAGGTTAGCTGAGAGAAGGAAGCATGGTAGAAGAAATGCAAATAACAGTTCTTGGAATGCCAGCCCCTGAGGCTTAGTTTAACCAAGCTAATCTGTTGGCCCAGGGATAGCCAGCATAGGAGCTTCCATCAGTACCTGACTTCCAACGAGAATTGAGTCCACATTCTGGAGTGCTATGGAGACTGTTACTATGACCTCAAAGACTGTCTCTAGGAATCTGAAATTAACAAACGTCTCTTACTAACTTAAGCCATATCTGTCATCTCTATGTTTGATATTTCTGACCCTGGTGCTTTTACTTCTTTTTCTGCCAAACTTCAGCCTACTCTATGGGGAAGGTGAGTAAAACTAATAGAACAAATAAGGAGACTGGAAAAACTAAACATACTCTTCAGAATGAGATCCTGTTCAGAGAACAGTAGTGGTCAAAGTGCAAACTGTTGGAAAATACAGATATATGTACATCGGTACATGTATATAGTGTATAATATGTATGTATATGTTATTGCTCATATGCAGAAATCTATCCATTTGCAGACAGCCCAGGTGGGTCAATTTTTCTATTGGAAAACCATTTAGGGCCATTCAAAACCATTAGGGCTAATTTGTGGAGACAAACTCTACTCATTTGGGAATTAATTTGCTGTCTTTTGATGTCCACAAAGCCAAATTAACAAAGTGTGAAACATAAAGAGGCCATCAGTTAGGTTATTCTGTTTATCTGGACTTTATCATTATAGTTGAACTATCAATAGTCAATTTCCAAACTGTATTGGCATCTCTTGGTTTTGAGTGACCCCTGCCTCCAAGTCTTTTGAGAATTTGGAGTGGGCTTCACTGGCCATTCAGACAAAGGGCCTTATTCATAAGTGGACAGGTTTCCCCATAGGGACCATCACACATATACATATAAGTATATACTTCCATCAGGCTTGTAACAATTGATTTAAAATCACTCCACAGTATTGATAAATAGCTCTATATTTTCAAGGTGCAGAAGAATTCCACAGCCTTAATTATTTCAGTGTCTTGCTGGTCTGCCTTAAGTGTATCTTCTGGATTTTTGGTTGTTTTATTATTTTTTAAATTTTTCTGCTGTTGTTCATTTTGTATGCATACAATGTCGTTTTGTAAAGGTAGGTTGTAAATATTTTATTTGTAAGTCAAAATCACTCATGTGTAATGTTGTAAAGTGATGACCTACTGTCTTGTTTCTGCTACAGTCAATGTTATAAGTTATGAATGAAACTTCAAAATGTACATCTCACATGTTATGCATTCCTATAAATATACTATACTAAAGATACTATATGGTCGTCCTTTTTTTTTTTTCCTAATTAAACCTTTATTCAAATAAAAGATTAATTTTTTTCTTTCTTTCTCCAAATATATGAAAGACTTTGAAACGGTAAAAATATCACATACTTGTTACAACACTTTTGGCCTAGGATTTTAGAAAGAAAGCAGCAGAGTATTTTAAGCCATTTACCCAAAAATGCCAAGGAAACCTCAGGGCTGGGTGCTATGGCTAGCACCTGTAAATCCCAACACTTTGCGAAGCCGAGGAGGAAGGATCTTGAGCCCAGGAGTTCAACATCAGCCTGGCCAACATAGGGAGACGCCCACCTCCCCCAAATAGCCCACATATTAAAACATTGTTTAAAAAATTAGCTGAATGTGTTGGTGCATGCCTGTGGTCCCACCTTGTGAGGCTGAGGTGGAAGGATCATCTGAGCCCAGGAGGTAGACACTACAATGAGCTATGATTATGCCACTTCACTCCAGCCCAGGCAACAAAGGGAGACCCTATCTAAAAAAAAAAAAAAAAAAAAAAAAAAAAAAAAAAAAAAGGAAGCCTCAGGTGGTTGTTAATTTCACACTGGTGTTTCAGGTGATAATACTGTTAGAATGTTTGGAGGATATTTTGGGCTGGTTCTCACAGGTTTATACATTCTGATGTGGACTCCAGCAATCTAGGTTAGCCTATGCAGACCTGATCAGGCTTTGAAAGTTTAAATGTGTCACCCAAGTGCAAATGTGGCTGATTCATGGTATACCGTCGATTAGCCAGACTGTTGAAGTGTTTTGATTAGCTTACTTTGCCAAGAAAGTCAAAAAAAGTTTTAGGCCGGGCGCGGTGGCTCAAGCCTGTAATCCCAGCACTTTGGGAGGCCGAGGCGGGTGGATCACGAGTTCGAGAGATCGAGACCATCCTGGTCAACATGGTGAAACCCCGTCTCTACCAAAAATACAAAAAACTAGCTGGGCATGGTGGCGCATGCCTGTAATCCCAGTTACTTAGGAGGCTGAGGCAGGAGAATTGCCTGAGCCCAGGAGGCGGAGGTTGAGGTGAGCCGAGATCGCGCCATTGCACTCCAGCCTGGGTAACAAGAGCGAAACTCCGTCTCAAAAAAAAAAAAAAAAAAAAGTTTTAACATTTGGCTTCTATTTCATCAAGATTTTATTGTATTTATTTGTAATGAGAAACACTTGTCAAAAGCATGGGCTCTTCACATTGGTTCATCAGCACGATCTCCTTAGAGAAAATAGAGATAATATGGCTGGGTGCAGTGGCTCACGCCTGTAATCTCAGCCCTTTGGGAGGCCAAGGCGGGCGGATCACCTGAGGTCAGGAGTTCAAGACCAGCCTGGCCAACATGGTGAAACCCCCATCTTTAAAAAAAAAAAAAAGAGAAAATATAGATAATAAAGAATATTAGAAACGAAATCAGAATCAGGTTGATGAATTAGAATCATAAGACCCTTATGGGCTTTTTTTGATCTAGAATTTGTATATATTTTAGCATCTATATAGCTTAAAAGCTCATGTGTAATTATTATTTCACTTAATCCCAACAAATTCTTATGACGTAACATTTCATTTGGAGTAGAGAAACTGAGTCACAGGATTTAGGTGATTGTTCAAGGTCACTAAGACATTCACTGGAATATAACATTTTTTGTTGAGACAGGGTCTTACTCTGCCACCCAGACTGGATTGCAATGGCACAATCACAGCTCACTGTATGTAGCCTCTACCTCCCAGGCTCAAGTCATCCTCCTCCCTCAGCCTCCCCAATAGCTGGGACCACAACTGTGTGCCATAATGTCTGGCTAATTTTTTTGTTGTTGTTGAAGAAACAGAGTCTCACTATGTTGCCCAGAGGGGCCTCAAACTCCTGGTCTCAAGATATCTTTCTGTCTCTGTGTCCGAAAGTGCTGGGATTATAGGCATGAACCACTGCACCTGGCCCTAGAAGATAAACTAAATGTGTATTTGTGTGTTTCACTGTGCCTGTGTCTGTATAGTGTGGGTCAAACAATAACAAATGATTAAATAACAGTACTTCAGCCTGTATTTTTTCGAGGGGGAGTGGTTGAGAGGAATGACCAATTCAGTTATGGAATATTAGCAAAAGTCCCAATACAAATGATAATCTGAACCCCCCATGCTCAGTCTAAAATAGGTATCAGAGTAGAATATACAAGGGATTCAGTGAGCAGGATAGAGGTAAGTCTATGGAAAGGCTCTAGACTGAATTATTGCATGAAATTTTAGATTAAAGGAAACTCTTTAGGATAAATACCTAAACCTGTAAGGCTGAATATTGGTTAGAGTCACGATCCTTTACTCAGCCTGAGTAAATGAAATGGAGAACACAAAATGAATTGGTACAATCTATGTTCCACTAGCATTTTTTTTTTTTTTTTTTTTTTTTTTTTTTTTTTTTTGAGACAGAGTCTCACTCTGTTGCCCAGGCTGGAGTGCAGTGACTCAATCTTGGCTCACTGCAACCTCCACCGGCGCCCCCCAACTTGGGTTCAAGAGATTCTCCTGCTTCAGCCTCCCAAGTAGCTGGGTCTAAAGGCATGTGCCACCATGCCTGGCTAATTTTTGTGGTTTTTTTGGTAGAGACAGGGTTTCACCACATTGGCCAGGCTGGTCTCAAACTCCTGATCTCAGGTGATCCTCCTGCCTCAGCCTCCCAAAGTCGTGCTGGGATTATAGGCATGAGCCACCATGCTTAGCCACCTTGACTTTTTATAAAGTAAGTGTGTGTGTGTGTGTGTGTGTGTGTGTGTGTGTGTGTGAAGAGACGGGGTTTCACCATGTTGGTCAGGCTGGTCTTGAACTCCTGACCTTGTGATCTGTCCATCTCGGCCTCACAAAGTGCTGGGATTACAGGTGTGACCAACCATGCCTGGCCCTATGAAGTGTTTTTGAGTGAACTATCTCACTGAATCTTCATAGTGATCTTTAAAGAAAGTTAATATTATTATCTTCGTTCCATTTTTGAGAAAATTGAAACTCATATAGCTCAAAATGCATTGCCAAAGATCACTCAGCCGGTAAGTAGAGCTGAGACTAAAACCCAAATGTTTTGGTTTGAAACTTCATGTTCTTTGTAGTGCACAATATTGCTATGCCTTACCTGTTCCTCTTTTCTTAAAAAAGTGTTATAGTTGATACACGATCATTGTACACATTTATTGGGTACATAGTTCTATTTCAATACACACAATGTACAGTGATCAAATCAGAGTAATTCATGTATTTCTCACCTTAAATATGTATCATTCCTTTGTGTTGGGAACATTCAGAATCCCCTCTTCTAGCTATTTGAAAATATATAGTAAATTATTGTTGACTACAGTCACCCTACGGTGCTATAGAACACTAGGACCTATCTTTCGATGTAGCTGTAATTTGTATCCTTTAACCACCCTCTACCCTTCCCAACCTCTAGTACTTACTATTCTACTCTCGACCTCCATGAGATCAACTTTTTTAGCTTCTGCATATGAGTAAGAACATTTGGTATTTATCTTTCTTGTTTTTCTTTTCTTGGTTTATTTCACATAATGTCCTCCAGGTTCATCCACCTTGCTGTGAATGACAAGATTTCATTCTTTATGTGAATTTAAGGGTTATTTTCCTTAAACTAGAATAAAGTATTGCCTTATATACACAATGGAGAACTTCTCCAAGGGATTTATTTGTAAAGACCAAATTTGGATTTTCAGATTGTCTAGCAATATTATCCTCCTAGATAATCCTGATACCAATCAATTCACCATTTCTAACTCGTCTTCCTCCCTCCCTTACCTTTCTACACCTATTACTTAAGCATTTGAGATATGCCAAACCAGGAAGCAGAGTACAAACAAAAGAGGTAACGAATACTGTTAATGATCTAGGTGCTATATATTCCCATGTGCAAACTACTATGAAACTGTCACAAAATAGATGCTATGAAGTTAATAAAAGAATTGAGTCAAGGTGTCTGTCTTTGAGTACTTGTATTCTATTTGGAGAAACATGGGGGTTAAATCGTGGCTAATAACTAGCAAATTATAACATGCTAGGCCAAGGAGTAGAGATAATTAAGAGAACTAGTCGAGAATGCACTGGCTGTTAGAAAACGAGCACGATTTATGCGAACTCTCATCAAGGTTGGACTTAATCACCCTACAGTCAAACTAGCTGTTTGAAGTTTTGAAACCCAGCGACCCCACCCAGAAAAAAGCAGGAGAAGCACAAATTGGCGGTAGATTGGCTACCAGCTTGAGCCCGGGCTAACACAGAAGTGATTGCAGCAAGCCCGGGCAGCTGCCGGGGAGGCAAGCGGAAGAGGCGGGGCCTCGCGGGCGACGTCATCGGGGCGCCGGCGTCTCGGGGCGCCGGAGGCACGGTGCGCCTGGGAGTTTGGAGCAAACAGGCAGCGCGCGACGATGGCGGCCGCTGGTGCAGCTTTGGGGCCGTTGGTGACGGGTCTGTACGACGTGCAGGCTTTCAAGTTTGGGGACTTCGTGCTGAAGAGCGGGCTCTCCTCCCCCATCTACATCGATCTGCGGGGCATCGTGTCTCGACCGCGTCTTCTGAGTCAGGTGCTTGCCCAGGAAGGGGAAGGACTGGGCTGGGTGGCGGGAAAGAAGACCAGGAAATGTAAGAGGGTGGCAGGAATTGGGCCGTGAGTGGGAGCAAAAGAGCCAGGCAGGCAGGCCGACCTACTCTTGGTCTGGGGAGTAAGCATGAGAAGCACAGAGGCCAAGGGTTGTTGGGCTCTTAGAGAGCCGTCTGTACTTTCACCCACAGGCTTACTGCTCGCATTTTGCAAAAGCCGGAACACCCAGTTTGGAACCCTGTCTGGCACTGAAGCACACTTAGATGAATTCTGTGTTTTTAACTCTAAGAAAATTAGACTTTCGGCCGGTCGTGGTGTCTCACGACTGTAATCCCAACACTTTGGAAGGCCTAAGTGGGTGGGTCACCTGAGCCCCAGGAGTTCGAGACCAGCCTGGGTCTGG